CCAAAGGCAGTATGATAAAGACATTTGTGCTCAGGCTGCATCAAACCTTTAGGTATACTTTCATTTCCTAAAGGAACATCTAGTTATTCAGGCTTATCTCCATAACAAGATTCTTATAAAGAAGTAACCCCCATTCCCACCCCCAACACCAATTTCTTTTTTCCACCTGAGCTCGGGCTAGTTGAGAAGGCTGTAGTAGTCTCTGAAAGCACGAACAAAAACACTATTTGGACAGCTATAGTAAGTGGAAAGGCTCTGAACTAGGCTACAACCAGTTCTGTCCATACTGACAGGGAAACCACAGCGGACCAAAGCCAACACACTCTTTCTAATGAGGTTCGCACAAGGCCTCCTCTGCATGTGGTTACCGGTCTGTTGCTCTACCATCAAAGGACACAGTGGGTACTCCCACTTTTCAGCAGCAATGATAATACGCTCAGAGCACCTTCACATCTAGAATTCTGTCTAAAAGAAATAAAACAAGAGACAAAGGTATAATTCTAAATTTTCCAGTGCCCACTTAAAACAAAAGAAAAAAGTCTTGGGGTGTAGTTCAGTGGGAGAGCATTTGCCTAGCATGCCTGAGGTCCTGGGTTCAAGCCCCAGCATGACAAAATACAATAAAATAAATAACAAATAAAATTAATGTGAAAGGAACATGTGAAATTAATTTTAGTAGTATTATTTTATTTAACTCAACATATCTAAGACAAATTTTACTATCTAATTAATATTTAAACATTAGATGTTTTACCTTTTTTCATGCTGTCTTCAAAATCAGGTATTTAATAGTTACAATACTTCACTTCAAACCAGTCACATTTCACATACTCAACACAAGATGTGACTAGCAGCCACCAAACAGAACAGCACGGATCTACATTGTTTAACATGGTTGCTATTTGCTGAATAAATTTTTATTTATTCACCACTGATTCACCTAAGACCCCAATAAAGTAAGTGAGAGATATTAGTTGTGTGTACAGCAAATAAAGCCTTCTGACAAAAAGGAACTGATTTATTTACCCCAAACAAACCACAGAGTTGGAAAAACTTCTACTCATCTTGAAGTTTAGAACTTGCTACAAAAGTTCAAGCCTTTTACATATGTATACTTGGAAAATAAAACTATCTATTAGGTTCTTCTCACTAAAAATCTAGCAAACTCCCAAATCTCCATTTATTTTAAATTAATGCCTAGTGTTTTCTGTCATATAATCTCATCCCTTTTTTTTCAGATGGCTAGCAACTTCATTTCCTCTCCTACTAGACTAAAACAACCCCTTCTTTTCTATTTTGCCAAAAGCCAAACCAAACAATTCATACTTCAACTCTACAGTTGGCAATTGCAAAGGAAATTCTGAACAAATTTGTAATAAAGGCTCTTAGGTATAGCAAAAACAGCACCAAACTGAATATAAAGCATTCACATAATGTTAACTTCTAACCTCAAAGCAACCAGCCAGATTCCTAAAATGGAAAAAAAAAAAAAAACAAGGAGTAAATCACTAAGTACTAGAATAATAAAATTATAAACTGAACTTTCAACCTATTAAAGAAACTCAAAATCCTTCAAAATAAAAAATTTAAAAAGATAACTCACAGAATCAATTTGATAAAGAAAAAAGACTGAGTATTTATAACTTGAAAAGCCTAAATTCAAACACTAACCCAAACACTATTTGCCTTCGGCAAATTATTTAACCTTTTTGAACATGCATATCTGTGAAAAGAATATTAATATATTATACTCCTAATACAGTGATTGTAAATGTTCACAAAACGTATTATAATAATAAATTATTCAGTGCTAGTAAACAACAATTAATTTCTATACTCCAGCCCCACTCATTTTTTTTATTGGTTGCTCAAAACATTACAATGATCTTGACATATCATATATCATACATTTGATTCAAATGGGGTATGAATTCTTATTTTTACCATGTGTACAGAATTGTAGGATCACATTGGTTATACAGCCACGTTTATACATACTGCCATACTAGTGTCTGTTGTATTCTGCTGCCCTTCCTATCCCCTTCCTATCCCCCCTCCCCTCCCCTCCCATCATCTCTCTCTACCCCATCTACTGTAACTCATTTCTCTTTTATTTTTTCCCCTTTCCCCTCACATCCTCTTATATGTAATTTTGTATAACAATGAGGGTCTCCTTCCATCTTCCATGCAATACCCCTTCTCTCTCCCATTCCCTCCCACCTCTCGTCCCTGCTTAACGGTGATCTTCTTCTCATGCTCTTCCTCCCTGCTCTATTTTGAGTCGCCCTCCTTATATCAGCCCCACTCATTTTTGTAATTTATGAAAAGCAGAAAACACAAATCTGAACTTAGAGCTTTAACATCAACAGAAATAAGAACCCTACGGCACAAAATTGTCTTTCTACTCTTTTTTCCTCAGTAGGGGACTGGGATGGTGAATAACTCAGCTATGAAGATCTGTAAAGAACACTAGAAAACTGCTGCCACCAACAATTCAATGGGTTCATAATGCAATACCTCCATCATGTCAAGCAAATAATAATGTCAATCTAAATGTAGTTACACTGACACTGAGAAACACAGCCCAAGAACATTTAGCTTAGCCTGAGAGAGTTGGGGAAAGCTTCCTGAGGGAGTTAACCAACTGATCCAAGTCAAACGGGCACAAAATCATGAAGAAAACAGGGTTAGGGGTGGAGCAGGCCAATCTGGAGAAAAGCAATGGAGTAAATGAAGACACAGAATGTGGAAGAACACAAGCACAATGTGGGAGAGCTGAGAGCAGCTCTTACTGCCAGAGTCTGGAGAGTTGTTGGATGCATGAGAAGACTAGAGAAGCAGATAGAGCTGGGGCATGAAGGCTTCATATAACACAGGGAGCATTTTGGGGCTTTATCCTGTTAATGACAGGCAGGGCAGAAAACAAGTCTTGTCACTGGAAATCAAAGTATTGACATGAGTTAAAAAGGGAAAGGAAACCTATGGTGGGAAACTAAAGACAGAGGATCACTCCAAATGACAGCCAACAGATCAAAAGAAATAGAAAGCACCACATGGAACATATCCACTACCTCTGCCACCTTTTCTAGAAATACAAATTACACTGAGAAAGAAACATTTTGCATAGAAAAGAGGCATTTATTAAACATCCTGGGGTAAGAAATTTGGGTAAAATATCATTTTACTGGGAAACTTTGCCCCAAGATCAGACCTTCCTAATTAATATCAAAGCAGGAAACCAAGTGTGGTATCAAAGAAAAATCAGCAACAAAATTACAATACCATTTAATCTTCATTGGAATCAGAAGCCTGAGTACCACACAGAGTCATGCTCCCACAGGGCACAGGGAGATTAGAATAAAGTCAAGTTCCTGACACTCATATCATCCTGCCCAGAACTAACTGTGAGACTCATTAAAAGTAGAAAAAGTCCAAATCTTTTCAGTTACGGCTGGTCATCTGATTAACTTTATAGTCATTTCTAAGTGGAAAAAAAACTACCACAAAAATGGCAAAAGCTAGGGAGAACAGAGAACATAACAGAAAGTGCAGAGGGTTGGAAGTGAAGTCCTAGGATCAGGACCCCATGAAGAAATTCTAGGGAAAGTCCAATTCTAGGGAAACCCAGTAGGAAAGTATTAAAGAGGACGGTTTGGGGATTAAAAGCAGAAATATGGGCTTTTCCAGAAAATCATGTTATTTAAGCTTTAAATCCTTTTTTATCTTTTCTATTCATAGTCTATAGAACAAGAGTACTCTAAATAATTAAATGCTGCCGATAAGGGAAAGCAATTCAGAAATGCTAAAGAACACCAGGCAGGAATGACTGCAATCCAGCATAAAGACTTCTTAACAGAGTTCAGTACTGGTACTGAAGTTTCTTCTTATAACACTAACTTATTCTTTGGGTTTCCACATTGAATCAATCCATTTCTCTCAAAAACTTTCTAACTTAATTGTCTTCACTTTCAGTAAATAAATAGATGGATACAAAAAGAAAGTAGACCACAGTCTGCATAAAATCACCCAACTTACTAAAGTAAAAAACTTAGGATAATGTAAAGAAACTTCCAAGAGGGTATAAAATTAAGCTAGACTACTCTTCTAATGTCAGAGGCAGAAAAAATTATTTTTGACTTGTGTGGAGAAAGGGATACAAGAAAGACAAAGCAGAGCTGGGGTTGTGGCTCAGTGGTAGAGCACTTGCCTAGCATGTATGAGGCACTGGGTTCAATACTCAGCATTGCATGCAAATAAATAAATAAAAGGTCTATCAACAACTAATAAAATGTTAAAAAGAAAGAAAGAAGACTCCCAGCTGGGAGTCTGAGGCAGGAGGATGGCAAGTTTAAGGCCAGCCTTGACAACTTAGCAAGATCCTGTCTCAAAATAAAAAAACAGAAAGGGCTTTTGATGTAGCTCAGTGGTAGGGCACTTGCCTAGCATGCACAAGCCTTTGGGTTTAATCCCCAGTACCATGAAAAAAAAAGAAAAAGAAAGAAAGAGAAGAAATATGATTATAATAAAATAATGTCCAAAGTACTTGCTCAAGCTTTTGCTAGTTAAAAGGTATGACAATAAGATAAGATAGATATCTATCTGTGACCAAATAAGATCTGAACTCCTGTGGTGTATATAGTTTGGTTTGGCATTTAAGTATGCTCTTTCCTCTCAAATATTTATTAAGCATCTACTATATTCCAGGCAATGTACTATTTTTCCAACAAATAAAGTTCAGAGTCTACCAATAAAGATCTTCTCTCATATGCACTGTAGCACTTAGCACAGTGCTGAGTTCAGAGCAGTTGCCCAATAATTCCTGTGAAAATTTATATTTGAGTGAACACTGAACGCCTGGGGTTAGCACTGCATCTGGCTCAGTTCATACACCTTTGTAAAGCAGCCCTAAAATGACTTGTTCGAGGTGCCCACTTTAGCAGCAGTCTCCTCTCCTTCCCAATTCACACTCCATTCTGGTGGATTCATCACACTGTACATACCTGTCCACTGAGGGGGGCAGCGGCAGTTGTATGTATTGACCCCATCCACACAAACCCCTCCATTCTGACACTTGTGGTTAGGACAGTCATCAATATTCCGTTCACAGGTGCTGCCTTCAAAACCTGATAAAAGAGGAACAAAAGAAAATGACGGATTCTCATACATAAGCATTCTGCTCAGGACATGATCATCAGGACAGACCTGCTTCATGACTTCAGTTCAACCTCCAGCAACTGCTCAATGCAGGACTCACTATATTAAAAATTTCCCCATCCTCCAACTTTTCTGGCCTTAAGCACAGCTAGACAGTGTGACTCATTATACCATGGCATGCCTTCACAGTTACCTCACAAGTATTTCATGGTGTTTCCATGAAATAAAATCCCAGGGAAGATAAATGTCTTCTTGGGACAGATATTAACTGGTTCCAAAAAACAGGGTATTAGATTTTCCCCAACTCCATACTAAACTACTGGGAAGAACAAATGAAAGATTACCTAATTACATTCCCTCCCACCCCCAGGATGATAGCTCAGAGGCCTTCAAAACTGGGGGTGAGAAATAGGAAAAATACTGAAATATTAAATATTATTATGGGTCAAGTCCAATCTCACCAACTACAAGCTGTTCAAAACACAGTAAGTTACAATCGATCAGTTTTCTTATCTGTAAAATGAGGCTGAGTCCACTTACCCAGCCTGCCTTTCTAGATCATGAATGCAGTACTATACAAAAGTTAAAAGCTATCTGGAAATAAGGTGACATTATTACTAACTAAACTTTCCAGCACTTCAAATTCTTCCTGCTCCTCTCTACATGAATACCACATTCATAGTACTGCTTCCTTCTTCCTGATTTTTCCCTTTTGTGAAAAACAAAACTAGAACATTACACTTCACTCTAATTGCCTGCAGTGTTGTTGTCTGTAATTTATATAGTGGGATTCTTTCTCTTTTCTTGCTACCTAATTCCTAAGCTATTCAAGCCACCAGCTGGAATTCAATGCTAATGTTCAATGAACATACTCCTATTTGAAATATAATATGAGTAGATATTTGGACCCCTCAAAATATCCCTTAAGGTCCTTCTCTCTCATTGAAAACATTCATGGGTCTTACACTAGACATTAGGAAGAGAACAGTCAGTAAAGAGGCAAAGTCCCTGCTTCTCTGGCACTTATAGCCTGGTAGGTGGGACAAACATCAATCACACCTTGCTCTACCCATCCCTTACCACAAGCTACTATGGATTCTACATTTGCTTAACATAGCTGGTTTCTCTGAACACAATTGTCAGTCATCTAAATGAGCTTAAACCAAGTAGCCAAAAATATTACCCAAAAATCAAAAGAAATGATTTCATGGAAGACAAATATTTGAAAGCTTGACTAAAGAAAATTATATTTCTCCAGGTAGTTGGTCCTCAGTCCRCTTAAGCAGATGTATCACTAAGAAAGCCTGATAAAGACAATGGAAATACACATTCATATTTTTAAAAATTTATATTACTCATATTTCTGTTTAATCATCTGAAAGTCTTAGTAATGGACTAATGCGCCAGAAAATGCTGAATTGCTTAATCCCACCCCTGATTATGATAAAGTGAAGCCAAAGCTACAGATCTACCACACAGCAGTCACTGAATGGGAACTAAGGTTTGTGTTCCTAGCCCAGTGCTTTTTATGAAGACATTCTTTAGAAAAGTTCAAGTTAAGGTTTCAGTTGGGGGGAGGGTGAAGCTCCTGGCGCACCACTGCTGGAACGTGTGTGGTCTGTGGTGTCCTATAATTCCTGATGGTCATCTTCTCCCTAATGTATTTCTCTGTGACTAAGAATGACTTGAACAAGGTGTCAGGGAGGTGGTAAGGCTCTTGTAGCCAAGTTACAAAGAACAGAAACCAGGACCCTGCCTTTATATTAGCCACTGTTACAACTAACTGAATTCACCAACCACAGACAAATTAAGAAAGCAGAAGCATTTCAGCATAACCACAACAGAAAAGAAATAAAATGTTTTCTTTTTATGTCTGACTGTTTTTGAGATAGTTCCTCCCGGTCAATAGGAAGGCAGGTAAGGAGGCGGACAGGCAAGAGAGGTAACTCAACGTGAAAAACAGTCTATGAGGCCAAACTACCTCTCCGCCCTGCCTCGAGATAACTGAGTGGCCCTGGGCACAAAGCTTAACTTTCTGTCCTCATACAGATTGAAGAGTTGCTGTAAAGATTAAATGAGTGAGATTGATACAAAAAACACTTGATTCAGTACATGGTGCTGGGTCAACTAAATGCCCATATGCAAAAGAATGAGGTTAGACCTCTTCACACATAAAAATTAGCTCAAAATGGACCAGGGACCTGAAGTAAAAGCTAAAATTATAAAACTATTAGAAAAAAAAACAGAAGTAAATCTTTGTACCTTGAGGTAAGTAAAGGTTTCTCAAATATGCCCCAAAGCATAAGGAAAAAAAATAGATAAATTGGACTTCATCAAATTAAAAATACTGGGTTCCGAAGAATGCCATCAAGAAAGTAAGAAGATTGCCCACAAATAGAAGAAAAGTATCTGCCTGATAAGAGACCTGAATCTAGGATAAAGAACACAAATTGGTGTGAGTATACTATGTATTAAAACCAGAGATATGAAAAATTGAGCTCTATATATGTAATAAGAATTGTAATGCATTCCGCTATTATTTATAAATAAATAAATAAAATTAAAAGAAAAATGTTCAATGTCCTGATCAAACTAAACAAACTTCCATGGTAACTGTTCAGTGTAATAATCAAATAAAACATTTTAACTCTTAAAAAAAAGAAAGAATTTTTATAGCTTTATAAAAATATAAATAACCCAATCATCAACTGAGCACAGCATTTAAGTAGACATTCTCCAAAAAAGAAACACAAATAAATAGTAAGTATATAAAAAGAGTTTTGACATAAACTTAACAAATGTTGATAAGGATGCAAAAAATTGGAACCCTCATATACTGCTGGTTGGAATATAAAATAGTACAGCCAGTTTGGAATATTGTCTGAGACTAGCAGTTCTTGAAATTTTATATGATTTATATGATTTTATATGATTTATATGACTTAGAAATTCTACTCTCCTAGGCATATACCCTCCCCCTAAATGGTAACATATCATTATATCAACAAAAAAACTTGTCCAAGAATGTTCATAGCAGCATTATTCACAATGGTCAAAATGCCAATCAACTGATTAATAAATAAAATGTGGCAAACCTATTTGATGGAATATTATTCAGCCATGAAAAGGACTGCAGTATTGATATATGCTATAGCATGGATGAACTTTAAAAACATTACAAGTGAAAGGAGTCAGTCATTAATGACTACATATTGTATATTTTCATTTATATGAAATGTCCAGAATAGGCAAACTGAACCATAAACTAAATTAGTAGTTGCCTAGGGTTGGGAGGGAGTTATGAAGAATGGGTATCAACTGATAATGGGTACGTGGTTTCTTCTGGAGTATAAAAATATTCTAAAATTGACTGTGGTGATGATTACACATCTATGAATATACTAAGCCACTGAATTATATGCTTTGTAAAAGCAAGTTGGCATATGAATTATATCTCAATAAAGATGCTATTTGTTATAAAAACAAAATATATTAGCTAATATTATTATGTATCAATGGGGTTAGAGCATCCACTAGAGATTATATACTCTAATCTCACTACTGCTACAGACAGGGAAGTGGAGGGCCACAATGCTGAGCTGCCCATGACTAAACGGCCAGCAGGCAGGAGTCAGCACTGAACCAGAAACTCTACCCAGTTTTTGTCAGTACGTTTCCTAGGAACCCAGAGTCTCCTCTGAAACAAGCAAAAAAAAGACCTTAAGTCAAAAGTTCCAACATCTGGGGCTGGAGTTGCGGCTTAGTGGTAGAGCGCTTGCCTAGCATGTGTGAGGCACTGGGTTCAATCCTCAGCACCCCCCCCCCCGCCCATAAAAATAAATAAATAAATAAATAAATAAATAAATAAATAGGTTTTTTTTTTTTTTTTTAATGAAAAAAAAAGTTCCAATGTCTGAAATACATTGCAAGGCGCTGGGCCAATCTTCAGCTCCACATAAAAATAAATATAAATAAAGGCGTTGTGCCCAACTACAAGTAAAAAATATATATATTTAAAAAAGAAATAGAGATACAGAACTCTTTTTGGAAATAGATAGCAAATTCTTGTAAGAAACAACCCATCCAAAAAGTGGGGGAAATGCTCTAAGAATAAGTCACAGAGCAGACACTTCTAAAAAATACTTTTTAAAGTTTTTAGGGGAAAGGGAAAAAGACAGGCCTCCAGACTTGTGGGTGGGATAGCGTGGCAAAGTCACAAAAAGGGTTCCCACAGCTGCACTAATAGGAGCCCATTTCTCAAAGCCAATTCCCGTCCTCACAAGGCCAGAAGGAGAGAAATTGAGAAAGTACATTAAAGATTGTGCTATTATAAACTGGTGGGCCACTTCAGTGATTAAGGATGGCAGTGAAGAGGGGAGCAGACAAATCTTTAAATGTGTCGTCCCACACAGAGAGCAACGTCTCTCAGAGGAGCATCAGTGTCTTTCAGGCACTGGGAGGTGTGAGGGTGGAAAGGGGCAAGGGAGAAGGGAAGATGAGATGACATAACCAAGATGCTCTTGGGCCAGGCACAAAGTCTGGGGGAAAGCGTCCATGAGAGGAATCAAAGAGCAAGGGGAATCAGGGGGTACCTAGAGCTGGACAAAAGCAAAATGACACAAGTCTACTTTTTTTTTTTAATTTCCAAGAAAGAAATCTGCCACAAAAACAAAGTTACCAAAATATGATTAACATAATATCCAAGAGAAGACCACTGGATTCTGAGTGTAAAGGTGCAAGAAGGAAATATTTCTGATAGTTCTTGAGCTCAGGAATATGAGAATAGACACAAAAGCCACAAAACATGTGAAAACTGTTTTTTAATGTAGAGCGATGCCACATCTATCCAGCCTGTGAAGTGCAGGATGGTTCACAAAGGATCAACCTTCACTGATAAAGACAGGACATACCAGGCAGCTTTCTGTGAAGTTTGAAGAAAAAATTATAGAAGAATAAACAGATGTGAGAGAAAAAGAAAAGGGAAAGTACACTGAGAACTGTCCAATCCAACTGTGAACTCACAAGGGATAGCAGTAGACTCAAAACAGCCCACTGTGTTCTGATTAGTGTGTTATTTATTAAAATATCCACAGACATAAAGCCAGCCTAACACATTCTCTCCCAATTGGTTGGCTGGAACCCAAAATACTGGGAGTCAATGATCCAATAATTTATTGTTCTTGTGTTAAAATTACTGCAGCTGGGTGCCCTCCTCAGGGCTTCTTCTACTAAGGGCTTCATATGATGGAAGCTTATGAAGGGTCCAGATTATTAACAGCTGCTGATCCAAAGAGACTATGGAATGTGGTTCCTTGATTCCATTCTACTAGTTCCCTCTTAAAGATAGCCCTTTTTCCTCTCTGTGGAGAAACATATTTTCCATGTCACACCAGATGAGTCATTTTTGCAGTTTTGATTCCTTCCCAATGAGTCCTACAATAATACTAAAATCAACTCTCAGTGACCACAGTATCCTTTGCAGGAAAAGAATTTTAACTTAACCATTTAAAGGTAATCACTAACTTACATGCTATTCACCAACTTGAGTTGAAAAACACTCCAAATTTCTTCCTTTTTTTATTTTAAATTTATTTATTTATTCTAATTTGTTATACATGACAGCAGAATGTACTTCAATTTATATTACACATATAGAGCACAATTTTTCATGTCTCTGGTTGTTCACAAAGTAGAGTCACACCATCCATGTCTTCATACATGTACTTGGTATATACTTCATACATGTACTTCATACATGATAATGATGTCCATCTCATTCTACCAACTTTCCTACCCGCATACTCCCTCCCTTCCTCTCCCTCCCCTTTGCCCTATCTAGAATTCCTCCATTCCTCCCATGCTTCCCCCTACCCCCGTTATGGATCAGCAAAGCCAGGCTCAATCTAGGATGCCTGATACCAGGAAGAAAATGAGAAACCCAGAGTCGCATACTCCATTATGGTGACCTGACACTGCACTCAAACAGTTGGTCAGTCAAGAAGTGTGTGCAGGCCTCTTAGGTTTCAGGAGATATTTTTAAAAGGTGTTTGGGGTACTTGAGGAAGCAAAAACAAAGATCCAGCTTTCATTCTGGAGACAGGAGGAGGCAATAGGATTTGGAAAAGATAAAACAATAAACAATAGGCAAAATGAAGTAAATTACATAGCAAAAATTATATAGTAAGAAGATAAGTGTCACAGAAAAATAAAACAAAAAGTAGACCAAGGTCAGTAATTAAGGAAGGGGGCTGGGAAGTGCAAAGACTTGGAATGTGGTAAAAAGCAACCATTTCTTGAAAAGTTGCAAAATAGCTCAACAAGCCACTGAAACATCCTGAAGACCTGGTGTCCCCATTTTTAGAACAGAAATACTAATTCTCTTTAAATAAGGAAACTATTCACAAGGAGATGGTGAATACTACTTTTAAGTAACATTTCAATCTCTCGGATAATCTGAAGGAAAAACTGAGCAAGAGACAAGAAGAATGGTACTGCACCATGAAAAGAACTTAAAAAGAAAATCATCTCCAGGCACTATTTTGGAAATCAAATGAATACTTCCCAAACTTCACCTGGGACATAAGAACAATAGAATCTTACAAACTGTAAATATATATTTATTCAAAGTGTTACTATATCTATGGTTTTGAATTATTTTATTTCCTTCTACAAATTTGTTCAAGCTACTAATCCACTTTAGACCATGGGACCCTATGAGGCAAGAAATAACCTACTTAACTATGTCTAAACAGCTACACAATGTATTTGGTTAGAATTATGAGTATCTCGGAGTTTTTTTTCCCCTTATAGTGTAAACATATTATTTTAACCCACATAGCTCAAAGTATTTAAAGAAAGCAACACATCTTCAACACACCTCCAGGAAGCAGATGAGCAGTGCAATGTAACCCAGTATGATGCACAAAAGCTCAGGCTTTGGAAATAACATGCCTGGGTTTCAGGAGCCCAGTCTCTCCTGTATCAGCTCTGCAACTTTGAGTAAATTTACTTAACACGACCAAATTTCAGTCACTTCACATGAGAAACTCAAAAAATAACTCCTAACCCCAAGGATTTTGTGTTTAATTACACTAATGGGTGTGAAAGTACCTGGTGGTACCTAACTCAAAAGGTTTTAAATAAATGTTAGCTTTATCTTTGCCCAATCTTCTCCCTGCTTAAATCCCCTCAGCATCCCCCAACACACCATCAGTGAATGACAAGCAGAATGTGAAGAGAGCCAAAATCTCACTCCCTAGCCCACCAGCCCTGGCAGCAACTTGGCTGAGGAATGCCTGGTTATTTCCTTTCTCAAGGAAGAGATGCTATTCTTGTTTGACAGATCTCTTCCTGGACACACTCTCAGAATTCCCTAAGGTTCTTATCGAGGTTAATGGAAAACAATGCAGAGACAATGGGAGTGAATAATCACTCTCTCTCAGCTAAAGACTTCCTTTATTGACTTCTCTGACTTCCTCTCAAAATTTTGCTGCCAAATCAACCTACTGTTCTAGGCAACTATTAAAAGTAATTTTCTTAAAACTGAAAACAGTATCTAACCTTCAACCATAAATCACACTAACCTTAATTACTACCCACTTAGACCATTACATATTAGACTACTAGAATGTTTGCAATATTAAAATATTTATAAAACTAAATTGTTTATATTTCTATTTCTGTCTCTAGCCCTGAAAATGCAAACAAATACAGGAGTGAGGGATATCTTTTAGTTAGTCCTTCTGCAAGATAATGTGGATGACAGAAATATTATAATAATAAACATCTACTTAGTAGAGAATGATAACATTATTCTTTATTGAAAGAGAAACTAAAAGCAATACACATAGTATATTCTTACAACCTAAATAATAAAAAGTTTTCATTGCAACTAGTAGCAGTGTCTTGTGTTACTGTACCCCAAACACATAACAGTACCTAGAACATAGCAGAGAGTCAAGAAATTTTTACTAAATGAAATGAATAAATTACTATTTGGTCTTATTCTGAGGACCAACCTATGATCCTTAATTCCCAAAAGATAAAACACACAAACCCATTTTATGTGAACCATATCCACAACACCACAATCTAAGATTCCCACTCTGAAACAGTGGCTAGAACAACTTCTTTTTGAGACCATTCTGCTTACTTAGCACATTATTCCCCCCCACACACACAGTTTTCCTTCTTTTGTTTTTGTTCTAAGGATATTTGTATAAAAACAGGATCCTTGTTGCTTAGTAATTCATTTGCTCCAGCTGTTTATGCTCTGTTCCCAATCAAAATTCTTGGTTTTCAGCCTCCTCATCACTTGTTTAAGAAGTAAAGTGATCTGGCCATTTGCTCCTCCCTGCCAAGGAACACCAGCCTGGAGCTTCCAGACCTTGCTGCTCCGTTTTTGCCATCTACCTTGGGTTACCTGTGTGCTCTAAGGCACTTCTACCAGCCCAGAGGATGACAAAGTATTTACTTAGTCTCTCATACATTATCTACCAGAGGCCATCAAAAAGTACCTATTGATTAACAGAGGACCCCCCTCCCAGCTTCAAAATTCTCCAGCCTCAAGATAGAGTAGGATTACCCCCAAATCAGGGAAGGTATATGGGTAAGGGTTCTGAAGACCAAACCTTCAGGGAAAATCACATATGGGAGGGTGGATACATTCAAATTATAGTGAATTATTCAATCAGAGGCAAAAGCATATGGGAAAGTTGTCTACCTACTCTTAGTGTCACTATAATTTAAAGTACTTTATTAACCATGCATACATATTTTCCAATGTCTAATTCTCATTGTGTTCTTCTCCACTCCAGATTTGCCTGTCCCTTTCCCAGAACTCTATTTCTCTTATATCTTCTGTTTCTCCAGAAGGGACAATAAACAATTTCCTAGCCACTCATCATCATAAACCTTGACATGTTAAATTATCCCCTGCTCAGTTTATAGACCACAGTGGGCCCATAAAATTCCTCCCTCACTAGTAAGCCACCTCTCACAAAATCCTCACTTCCCTTTTTCCCTGCTTTAGTACACTTCCTAAAGGAACAACTGAACCACACTCACTGACTTCCACCTTCTTCTTGCAATTGATTTGTTTCCCAATCCTAGGACACTAGGGAGTTCCTTACCTGGAAGGCAGTTGCACTCAAAAGTGAAGTCACCAGTCTGCCGGCAGGTGCCTCCATTGACACAGGGGGAGGGTGCACAGGGCACATAGGGGCTGTCACAATGTTGGCCTGTGAAGCCTTGGGGGCACTGACACTGGTAGGAACCAGGTAGGTTGAGGCAGGTGCCACCATGCTGGCAGCGTCCTGGTATTTCACACTCATTGACATCAGTTTCACACTTTTGCCCTGTGAAGCCTGTGAGACATTTGCAGGAGAACTGGTTGGCTACAGTGGTACAGGTACTTCCATTTGCACATGGATGAGACAGGCAGGCATCAGTCCACTGGCACAGCTTTCCTACAGGGGAGAAGAGAACTTAGTACTTTTCATATAATCAGGAGCCAGCCCCAGCTTCAAAACCCCTCTCCCATCCAAGAAGTGACTGCAGGAGTTCTTGCATGGAGATCCTCAAGCTCTTTGATTTTATGGAAGAACAAATCAGAGCTTCCTCAAGATTGTCTGATTACAAGGGTCCTTTTCAGAAACTCTCTAAGGCCCATAGATGAGACTCAAAGACGTCATGGATAGAGCACATAAGGGGACCACATTGTCATACGAAGCCCAGTCCTGAAGGATTACACTGATCCCTATGACTAGGGTCTGATCCATCCGTTCTCACACCTCCCTGTGTTTGCACAAGCTGCTCCTCCTTTTAGAATGCCAGCTTCTGCTTTGATTATTTAGTGAACTCTTCCCTTATCTTAACAACTTTGCTCAACAGTTACCTCCTCTATAAAGTCATTCTTAAATGCCCCCCCAACACTGCAGCTCTGCTCTTTCCTTCCATTATAAACAGCTGCCACACCAACAGGGGCTAGGTCCCCCTAGTATATTCTCAAGTTATTTTACTGAATACATAAAATGTACTGATATTTTCCCCAACAAGTTACTAAAGAGGCCTCTTAGGTCAATATTACTTCTATTTCCTTTAAACACAATATACTATCCATTCTGGGAAACATTTTGTTAATATGTGGTCTTAATATAGGTACTGCTTGATATGTGTGGAGATGGTGAAGGATCCTTGGCCTCCAATGTGTCAGAAAAAATAGAAGCTGTCACGAGGACAGGTGTCTGAAAAGGTAACTTCCGTGGAGTCTTCCAGGCAGAAAAACACCAGGAGTAGGGGGACTCCGCCAGGCTAAACGCCAAGGTATCTGTCCACAGGAAGCAGAGCACATTCTTGAGAGAGGGAGAAAGGGAAAGAGAAACAGAAATATGCCCAAACTTTTAGTAAATCTGGTATTCATATGACTTTTTTGTTTACATTAGCCTAAGTCTTTTATTTTTTAAGCTACAGATGAGAACTCCCTGGTTTTGTTAATAATCCAACTGGCTGTCTAAATCTTTGACCCCACAGTAAAGCAAATGAGACATGACAGCTTTGCTAAAAGGAGAAAAGTCATGATACGTGAGAAATGTCACACAGAAATGCTCTCTGCTTATCAAAGAATGCCAAACCAAAAGGGAAAGGACCAATATAGAGTTAGGCACAGCACATATATCTCAGGTGCTGAGCAGAAAGAAAATGAAGGAACTGCAATTTTGGGCCTATTTTTTCCCTTCATTTTGCTCAGAGGTATGTATTACAGCAGAAAGGGACATAAATGTTTATTTCTGGAGACCACAGATATCAAGGTGCCTGCCCACAACTGAAACAGAAATGTCCTTTAACTCAGATTCCCACATGTACTGTGTACAGGCACTAACTTGTTGCCTCTGCTTCTTAGTCTGGGTGTAGATGAGCTAACAAGGTCTAACTAGGTGAGGGTGACGGGCTCTCACAAAAACCAAAAGGATGAACTCAACCTGTGGAGAATGGTCCTCCTTTTCTCAATTTAATAAATAACAAATTTTCTGAATTTAATAAATACCAATGGAAAAAAGCTAAGATCTACCTCTGAAGAAACCAAATCTATTCAGGTAAGAGACATGTAAAAAAAATCAATTACAGTAAAATGTGACATAAAAATAATCAAACTGTGACTAACTGCCTAAAGCAAACATGAAAGGGTCACTAAGACAAATCAGGCAATCACCAATCGTAGAGAAGAACAGAAGAACACTCCAGGAAACCACACGGAAGCAACAGGAAGTATGACATCTCTAAGAAATGATGAAAATATAAGTGTGACCAAACCTAGATGCTTGTGAGATAGTGAGACTATGAAAAGATGTGAGGCATACACTGTGATAAGCCAAAGTAGCCAAGTAAAGAGTTTACAGTTCATTCTGTGGATGGCAAAAATTCATAAGACACTACAAAGAGGTGAGTTTGTTAAATCTGCATTTATAGCTAAAGCTACAATATGATGGATGAATGAAATGAAGCGAGAAAATCAGTTAAGGAACTACTTTATCAATCTAGGTGAGGGATACCATAACACACACCTACAGAATAGCAGAGCAACTAGAGAGGAGTAAAAGTGAGAAATGATTCAGAGGCTGGCAGGTAACAGGATCTTAAGAGGGTGCAGACAAGGAGAGAGTTTCTAGTCTTAGTATTTGGAATATGTATTGGTGTCACTTACTTATATCAACATGCTAAGTTTGAGGTTCTCGGAATATTTCTAAGGAAAAATGCAACAGGTAGTTAGAACAGGAGTCTGAATGTTTGGGTGGGGGCAGAGGAACAGGGATGACTGTGAGAGACACTGGCAACTAACAAAGATGATGACAGCTGTTGAAGCAACTGAAGAAACTGAGATTCCTCAGGGCGAGCTGTGATATCACTCCAAATAGGATTTCAGGAAATGTGAAATTTAACAGATAAAGACAAAACAATGTAGAGAGAGAGAGAGAGAGAGAGAGAGAGAGAGAGAGAGAGAGAGAGAAAATGAATCAGAGCTCACAAAACCAGAGAAGTCAGTGTCCTGAATGTCTAAACAGCAGACATTTTAAGAAGGAAGTAACCATGACTTTCCTTCTGGTGACAGTGACTTTCCTTTAGTGAATTTGCTTTGATCCCCAATCCTGACATAAACACTTTATGTAGTCAAATATGCCTAAGTATTTGACCTTTTTTCTTTCTCCTTTTCCACTCCTTAAAAACTCTCAAACAGAAGTTGAGGATAGTTCCTTATCATAATGCTGGGAGATCCTACAGGAGCCAGATACTATGATCTAAAGATGCAAAATAAAGGTACCTGCTAAGAGTAGGAAAGTACAAGGTTGAGCCCCCTTTGTTACCTGTAAAACCAACTTGGCAGGTGCACTCATAGGTATCCCGGCTGAGCATATGGCAGGTGCCTCCATTCAAGCAGGGGCGAGACACAAAGCAGGGGTGAGAGGTGGAATACTGGCAGTCCTCGCCCGTGAACCCTGGAGCACATCGGCAGGTAGCTTTCCCCAACATGGCCTGGGCCACGCAGGTGCCACTATTCTGGCAGCGGTTCTTCTCACAGGGGTTTCGATGCTGACAATATTCTCCAAGGAAGCCCTCTGGACATCTATAGGAAAAAAAGATGAGTCCATGAAAACATCTGACGCCTCATAAGTACAAAAACTGATAGTAATGTGGTTCATCTGAGTAATACTAAATTGTGAATCAAGAGACTGAAGGCACAAGTTATAGAACTGCCTCACTTTAGGAGAAGGAGTACTTAGAGAACTTTACCACATACTACCTGGTCCTTCCAACTCTTGACAGGTGACAGAACACAAGGCAGATGATCCAGCAGAGTCTGCCACCACAGTGAATCAGCATGACCCTTACTCAAAGGCAAAATACACTACAGCTTTGTTCATGTAGGTACAAGCTGGAATGATGTGATTGCCCATAGAGCACTGTTGATACCTGTTTGCTTAAAATCATTAACTTTCTCATTTTTTAAATTGATTTTATTTTTTAAATACATGACAGTGGAATGCATTACAGTTCTTATTACACATAGAGCACAATTTTTCATATTTCTGTTTGTATATAAAGTATGTTCACACCAATTCATGTCTTTATACTTTGGATAACGATATCCATCATATTCCATCATCATGTCTAACCCCCTACCCCTCCCACCCCTCTGCCCTATCTAGAGTACGTCTATTCCTCCCATGTTCCCCCCCTCCCTACCCCACTATGAGTCAGTCACCTTATATCAGAGAAAACATTCGGCATTTGTTTTTTTGGGGGGACTGGCTAACTTCGCTTAGCATTAACTATGTTCTTTGATAGGATTACAATGTTCACATGATAATGCATGGAATCAACCCCCTTATTCCTCCAATTTAAAATATATAAGACACCATGTACTTTTTCGAAATTAAGTATCAAGAAATAGTAAATTCTTTCTCATTGCCGCTTAAACACCAGTTGGCCTGCACATAGCTTTCTGGGTTAAATTCGGGTAATTGATTGCAATAGAGAAAAGGGGAAGGAGGTACAGGAACAGGGAAGGGTTCAAAAGGGCATTCTAAAACCTGTTAATATACAAGTGGCAGATTTTTAAGTCAAGAAGGCATGAAATAAAACTAAAATAACAAAATATCTAAAATTCCATATAAACACCATAATGAACGAGGAAAATAACTGAAGAACAACATTCTGTAACATTTTTCACATTAGGGCATTAAGGAAGATTTTTATATGCCACCTCTTAATGTATAACTGCTCTAAATTGGGAGTAATATTTTTGACAATTTTTTTCTAAACAACATCAAATAGGCATGGGAAATCTGAAATTTCATATGAAGAGATTGTTTAAGTGGGACATCAAAGAAGTATTTAAAAAAACACAAAGACTTAGATTCTTAACTATAAATTTTTCTATTTGGCTGGAAACCCAGATATTTGGTTCAAACTATTTCTCCATTTTACTCTTTGGAGCACAGAGAACTGAATGCAAAAGACTGTTCCACCATTATGTCAAAGATAACACAGTTAGATCAAACTCTAAATCTGACCCCCTACACCAGCTCCTGTCTTGTCTTCCTGTGCAGAATTACTGGGCGATTCTCCTAATCAGATAGACTTAAAACACTGGGGTCTAGTTGAATTCATTCCTGGTTCCACTGATCATATCCAAGACATTTCATTAGCTATTGGTTGGCCAGCTGAGGTCTTCAGGGGCCAAAGTTATTGAGAAAAAAAGATAGGTCAGCTATTAGGGAACTAAGACAGTGCACTAGCTAAAAAGGGCTTGGAGGAGAAAACAGAGCAGGTCAACAGCTAGAGCAACAGTGATGTAACTGGCCACAGCCTCCTCACCCCTTCCTGAAGCTGTGTACAGAAAACATGGCAGAGGAAGAGCAGTGAGGGCTCTGAGCACCTTCATGAGAAAGTCAAGCCAGAAACAAGGAAGCAGCAAAGGAAAGTTCACAGCACTTGGTAAAGGTGACAGTAAAAAGTCTGTACCTCAGAAGGTGAGAAGGTCTTGTCCCAGTGCCCGTGACCTTCCTGGGCAAATTACTATCACCTCTATTCTCTCACATCTTAAAATAGTTAAGAAAGCTACCTCATTCTGGCAGTATGAGAACTGAACAAAGTCAAGTATGTGAAAAACCATGAGTATTAAAAAGCTTTACAAATGAGAAACATTTTTTTCTCTCCTTTGTGTATACTAAGAAAAATATGATGCCTTATCCAAAATCACAGCTTGATTTGATAATYGAGTTTTGTTTTTGTTTTGTTTGTTGTTTCTGAAGTAGAGGAGCAAAGAGTACCACTATGGCATAGCTAAAGTTAACCCTGAGTTATATTATTAAAAGCACTTGCAGCTTATTCAAGCAATGTGTTATGGATGATGTTAAAAACTGCAACACAATTCTCATTTATAGTGACAGTCCTTCAGGCATTAGGCCTGGCTTGGCTCTCCCATGTGGGAATTATTCACCTTTTAAATAACAGCAAACTTCTAAACCTGGGTGGGCTCTGACCAGATTTTCTCCTAAATATTATACCACTCCTAAAACTACCATATGGCATCTGCCAAGAGAATACAAATTTATTTAAATTTTAACATCATAAATACACAATGAAAACAAGGTTCCCAGGAAAACAAAAATGGAACAAGGCATGAAAGTTTCTGGAACTAAACAAAAATATTTCTGAATTGTCTGTTTCTAGGGTTTAAGCCACATTGTTGCTTCCAACCAAATATGAAAAAATAAATTTCAACTAAGACATGTTGAAGAAACCAGTCAAGTAGAGACTGGTAAATCACACTAGCTCCCAGGTCTAATTTGACTAACTGTTCTGTTTTTGTATGGCCTGTGAACTAAAAATGGTTTTTATATTTTTAAATGGTTGGAAAATATTAAAACAATAATATTTTGTGGCATTCAAAAATTATATAAAATTCAAATTTCAGTGTCCATAAATAGTCTTATTGGAGCACAGCCATATTCATTCACCCATGACTGCTCTTGCACTTCAACGACAGAGTGAAATAGCTGCAAAGAGACCACAGGGCCCACAAAAATAGTACTCTCTGGCACTTTACATAAAGTCTGCCAACTCTAAGCAAAAACATATGGAGTTTATCAATAGCACTAATATTCTAGTTAATGATGATGAAGAATATTCTCCTACTGGTTTCCTCAATGAAAATTAACTCATAATGTTTATTAATTCTTGCAAAAACATAAGTAAACACTTATTATGTACCAGGCAGCTTTCTAGTAGTCATCTCTCTGTATCCACAGACTCTATACCAATGCATTCAACCAATTATGGATTAAAAATATATGAAAAAATGGTGCTTAAACTGAAAGTGTTCAGAATTTTTGTGTCATTATTTCCTAAATGAATAGTGGAACAACTACTTACATAGCATTTATATTGTATTAGGTATAAGTAATCTAGAGATGACTTAAAGTATAAATGAGGATGTTTGTAGGTTATATGAAAATACTATGCTGTTTTATATAAAGGACTTGAGCATACAGATATGGGTATATACAGGGCAGGAGTGGAGGGGTGTCCTGGAACCTATTCCCCATAAATACTGAGGGACAACTGACCAGGAAGATACTTGCACTCAAGGAGCTGAAATTCTCATAGGGAATACAAAAATAAAAATCTGTAAGTAAAAGATATTTGTATGTTAGGTATAGTATATGCGATTAAGAAAAATAAAACAGGAAATGATGAAGTTAGGCATAGGAGCATGAAGTGTTAAGGAGAGCTATTTCAGTTTTAAATAGGAAAATCAAAGAAGGCCTCATTGAGAAGGCATCATTTGAGTCAAGATCCAAATGAGGTCAGGGACTAGCCATTCAAGGAACTAAGGGAAAATTGTTCAAGGCAGAGAAATACCCAATGCAAAGGCTCTAAGACAGGGGAGCAGCCCTGGCCTGTTCAAGGAATGGCACAGACCTGGAGACCTCTGCTGCTATGCCAAAGGGAGTAAGAAAGAGTAGCAGAAAATAGTTAAGAGTGTAACTAGGATACAGACCAGGTGCACCCATTAGGTCACTGCAAAGAAGAATCTTAGTCTAGACTGCCAATTCCTTTTTTTCTTCTTTTTCATCAATTATGGCCGTCTTAAAGTTTAAGTCTGGCCTGTCCTTCTCTTTTCTCTCATATGAATTCGATAGTGGTGGTGTTACTGACATGGTTTTAAATAACTACTGAAATGTACTACTCCAAAATACACTGCTCCAATTCCATGTGTTTAATGTTCTAGAAGCCGTCTATCTACATCTGTGTACATACTTGAAACTAAACATTTGGGAAAGACCATTTTCTCATGAAACTTTAATTCCTTCAATTTTCTAAGGATTCCACTCACAATTTAAAGTCACTTTTAATTGATCTCTCTAAGTTATATGTAATTTATTGCCATGTCCTGACAAGTCTTATTAACTAAATTCATATAATACCTGCTATTCATGTTCACAGTTTCCTTTTTGACACAAGTTCTAATCATCTTAAAAGCCTCGGGCCAGACATCTTCTTGCTGTTTCCCTACTTCTATCCATCCTTGGAATGATGGTACCTTAAGGGTGCATTAAGATTCAGGGCACCCTAATGTAATTTTTATTCAACAAGATAATCGTTTCTAAAATATTTCTAAAAGAAGGTCACCAATCTCTGAATACAAGCATATAGCATGGTAAATGACAAATAGTAAGAATTTAGTAAGTGCTTGAAATTATAATTGTTCCTGCAGATTCTAGAACCAGACCACATGGGTTTCAATTCCAGCTAAATCATGGGTAGCATGCTAAGCCTCCCTGTTGTAAAACAGATTTAATAACAGTACCTACCTCACAGGGTTTTTAAATCACTGCAAAGCAGTTAGAATACCACCCAGCACATATGAAAAACCATGTATTTGTTAGGTATGGGCTCACTGCTTCAACAGAACAGTCTTCAGTTTTTCCATTATCAGAAATCTCTTTCTTTTTTAAGTCTGAAAATTCTGCCTCCTCTCCTAGGTATGTACCCTCTGCCTCCCCTCCTAGGTATGTTCCCTCTGCCTCCTTTCCAAGATAACTGAAAACATAATGA